AGCGAACTTGGAGAAAACCAAACATTCCGAGTCTTGAGTAGTACGTATGTAGCTTTTATTTGAAGATGATTTCACTCACTTTCTGTATTGAAGATAATTTAGTTCTATGTGAGGAACTAATTAGGTATTTGTGTATTCAATTCTATTATTTCTATTATGTTGTTTCATTATTTAGCCTTGTTGAGGGCTTGAGACATCACTTCAAACAAAGGTTTCAACTCCGGCTTCGTTACAAGGAACGTGTATTGTTTTCATGTTGCGTGTTCAAATCACGTCGGGGTCACCACTTTGGGTTTAATCACCACGAAAAGAAACACGGAGGAACTTGGTTAGATGTTCTTATAATGGTATAAAACATTACATTTTTGGTTACAAACTTAGATGCTACTTGACGATCACATAGCGTCCCCATAGACAAAACCAAAACACTCCCCGGTGTAGGGATGTGTATATAATAATTGTGGGATAGTGATGGCGAATCGCCACAGATATATTATTGTATTGTCCCAGTGTACATAAGTTCATGAAATCTGCTGTCAACGATGCAAATTTGTCATGACTTGAAGGTATGAACATGCTACCCTGTTCATCATGATATTTCCAATTAGCATTGGATACATTAAAGTCCCCCAATATAAGAAATACATCATCACTATGCGAGTGTATGATGTCCGCGGTTCTGTCATAAAAAGAGTTCAGCAAAGCTTCGTGTCTGACACCATGTGGTATATAGGTACACGCTATATATAAAAAAATTGAGTCATTAGTGGTAGTGGTGGACAGGGAACTCGCGGCGCGGTTGCGAAGGGGAACGCTCACCCACAGCTCATCTGCTGGCGGTGGCGCCTCCCAGTCAGTTCGACGTTTCGCACAAAGACTTCGACGCACAGCTATAATTACTCCACCACCGAGAGAACACCCAGTGGATACTACATCTCGGTCACATCTTAAAACCTCATAACGACTATCGAAAAATTCCGAACTTATAGAATGAATCATTGAGCCAGGACTCAGTTCAGCAAAGCTTCGTGTCTGACACCATGTGGTATATAGGTACACGCTATATATAAAAAAATTGAGTCATTAGTGGTAGTGGTGGACAGGGAACTCGCGGCGCGGTTGCGAAGGGGAACGCTCACCCACAGCTCATCTGCTGGCGGTGGCGCCTCCCAGTCAGTTCGACGTTTCGCACAAAGACTTCGACGCACAGCTATAATTACTCCACCACCGAGAGAACACCCAGTGGATACTACATCTCGGTCACATCTTAAAACCTCATAACGACTATCGAAAAATTCCGAACTTATAGAATGAATCATTGAGCCAGGACTCAGTTATGCATAAAATATCATAATTGTTATTCAATACACTACTTAAGAACTCATTATATTTAGTACGTAAACCCCTCACGTTTTGATAATAAATAGACATAAAATTTCCATTCATTTTTAAATAATATAATAGTTGTAAATTAAACTAGGTAATATTTGAATGAATAAACAATTATTGCACCGCTCTCGCTCATTTATTGATAAAATTGTTACATAAACATTTTTAGTAATTACAAAGAGATATTTCCTCCTACATTTATTAAAAAACACAAACTTGACGTAACTAAACTGCCTTCTTTTATTTAGTTTTAAGAGTAAGATATAACCTTGTAATTTATGTGTAACAATAATAATTTTTCTATAACAATAATTATACTGCTCTCGTTCAAGTAAAAAATAGGTAAATTTTGTAACTACTAACAAAAACTTCTCTTATAATCATTTACACACATGATATTTTTACAATACAAAATGTAAATTGATATATTAAGCTTATATTTTTCACCAAATACACGAAACAAATACTTTGATTGTCACTTTATTTTAACTAATTCTTTCTCACTACCGACGTATATGGATCTCGATGAGTCAGTCTTACGAAGAAAGATTTTGCAATCATTAATCCAAATGTACTTATATCCTAACTCTCTTTCCAGTTTACGAACCTTCATATATAACATTTTGTTACATGGTGTTAAGTGGTCATTGACAAAAATTGGCTTTGAAGCACCGTCTATACCTAGATCAGCTATTGTTAATCCGCGGCGTGCCCGTACAGCGGCCAGAAACTCACTTTTCCTCCGTCGTTGAGTGAATTTGATAATTATAATTATTTGGTATATTTCATATGTCGCTTTTTCCGTTTTGTTCTTTCACAGAGAAACGCCTCACTCGATGTATGAAATCGACGTCCGTGGGTGAAACAACAAATCCAATCTTGGTGGCAATTGTATGGAGGGTATTATATAAATTTTCACCCTTGACTTGTGGAACTCCAGAGATTTCTAGGTTGTTGATGCGATTTTAGTGATCTTTCAACTCTTTTAGTTCCAAGAGCTCCTGTTGTGTATTACATAATTTTTCTTCCAGTACTTTGTTTTTGTCACACAATTTTTCTTGGAAATTCCTGATACCTGACAAGGAAGTTGTGAGAACTAGTCGATCTTTTTCGAGAGTTGCTGACTTCGTTTTAAATCGAAAACCTCAGTTTTAAGCATACACAATTCATCATGAAGTAACTTAATACTGTCACTCTGCTTATTGATTAAAGATTCAATCTTCCTTTCCTTTAATTGGTGTTGAAATTCAATCAACTCTTGGGATAGTTCACGACGGAAATCGATTACACAATTGTTATCGCAGTCTGGTGTCTTTCGTTTTCTAATTATTGCAGTCTGGTTTGAAGAAGTTTCGTCTTTGAGTTGAGTCAAATTAGGACGTGAGTGTGACCCAACACTTTTGTTTGGAGGGCTACGTCGGATATTCATTATAATGTTGCACTTTGAATATGTAGTAAATAAAACAAAAACGATAATATAGATTAGGAATAGAAACTAATCACGCTTGCGTTTCCTTACAAGTACGTAGGTATTGTAAGGTCGGCGCGTCAGCACCGTTCAATGTGATTTCAAATTGCAACTACGTTCAATCACACTACCTACTAATTGAATGCGAAATGCGTTTGTCTCTTTTCTTCAGAGAGGTGAACAAGTTTTTATGAAGTGATGTGTAGTTGTAGGAAAGAGATAAACTATTCTGCGTTATTTTAAAATGCACTTTACATTACCTTCCCACAACGCACAAATTAATAAACAACTGAAAATATTTTATTTTAAATAATTCGACACAAGTCCTTCCGACAACAAGCACACGATGAATGGAATATTAATAAGAAACAAAACCGTTCAACTATTAAAACATACTTGCAGGCAAAGCTGGCGGATGGCGTGGCAATTTCAATGGAGACACATTACAGCACTTGAAAGAATGGATGGAATACAACCTGCGTGACACCGATCTGCGCTACTCACTGTTTAATAAACACCTTATAACAAAATGCAATTGCGACCAATCGACAATGAGGAATTATTAAAAAAAAATTAGTTCCCGAAATCAAACTAGATGTCGCTACGGTACGTTTTTGATTTCTCCATGACAATCCTTCCGGTTTTCTTTCACGTTTAAAAGTAAATTAGTTTTCAAAACTTAATTAACAACGCATATTCTATTTGTCCTTTTTCGTATTTGTATATCTAAGTTTCGAACTTTTCAAATTTCAGTTTTTTAATATGTTAGTTAAAAGGAACGGAAATGACTGACTTTGGTCCATTCGTTTCCTGCAAAAATCAACTTTTGATAGAGTTGCCATCTAGTGCAGGTGCTTTTCAGTGCTTTGGTTTTTTTTTTACGTGGATACGTCTATGTTTTCGTTCTACAGGGGGGTCATTCTGTGAGCAGGAGTATATGCACTAACGCCATCTGTTGGCGCTAGTGAATACTTTTTTCATTCAACAAATGAACGCAACGAATATTTATTTATTTAGTGTTTAGTGTCTTCAATTTGTTTATTTTTTTTTATCAATTACTCATATATCCATTCATACATAGACGTATCCACGCATAAAATATGGCTGTATCAATGATACAGCCAACCAGGGTTTTTTTAAATACTTCCTCATTGTGCCGCTCCGCACTCTTGTTTGTTTCACTTGCATACTCTGGCGCTAGTGTAGGCCCAAATCTAGGGGGGTCTTGCCACGGGTGCCAGTGTCAGGGGGGCGTGCATGAAAAAACTTGTACTTTTAATAGTCACATTAAATAAAACCTCAACATTATCCTTTTGAATTACAGTTTATTTAGACAATAAGTATTTCTTTTGTATAAAAAGTGACGACGACGTGTAATTCTTCTAACGTCGCTTATTAGCATAATTAACTAAGATATTTAAAACTAAGAATGGATATGAATAACTTAAGATACGTTTATACATATATGTATATGTGAAACGCTTTTTAATTGTAAGCTTAAATAATGACTGGCCTTTTTGTAAACCTCGACTTTCAACTAATTTTAATAGACTTCAAAATGGAGGAGTTTCTATATTCAACTTTTACTTATTTATTAAAAGTATTATAATTATTAAAAAGTATTATTATATTTGATCAATTAATTTTATTCAAATATACAGCTTTAAAAAAATCCTTGTAAAAATATTTCTTCCTGCTTTTTAGGTGAAGTGTCGTTAGGTGAAATGTGATTACTGAAAGTTACAAATGATTGAAAAATTCGTCCTACTATAGGTTGGACATCGAGCATAGCGCTGTCACGGCATCAAGAAGACACAGTAAAGAGGTTCAATCAAATCAAACCTATTTCAAAAGGTAATATCAGACTAAAGCTGCAGGTACCTCCACAATAAAGAAACCATTTCAACTATTTATAATAAGCAATTACAATAACAATACTTCATAGAAACGAACATTCTAATAGATTTTATTTTTAGTTATCATACCTTTATAATATTAACTACAAAATTATATTATAATATTCACTTCCGGTTGATAAAAAATAAACGAAAGCAATTATAGACACGCTTCCTTGTTTATCAACAAAATGTAAAAGGAATAATGAATGTCTACAATCAGGTTTGAAACACATTCTGGGCCGCAGTTGAGTAGACCCGTTACTCGAGCGCGCGCGCAACTTTCTCGCGTTACCGCTCATAAACTCGGTATAATATTGTTTATTTAAAAATAAAAATAAAATGGAAAACAATAGTTTCCCGTACCAGATTGAGGATTTGCCGCAGGAGCAAGCCGAACATCTCATGAAATATTTAAAAGGTAAGTTCAATATGTGCTTTTAAATTCACATGACCTACTACTGGCAGTTCATTTACTTGAATAAAAACATATTTACTTAGAAAATGATGACGTTTTGATTTTTAAAGAGATTTTCTTTTATTTATTAGTAAGTTTTAGAAATCATATGACGTCAAATAACCATCTTAGTATGTGGCAATCCAATCTATGTGTATGTTACACATATTTATATATAATTTGTTTATTATATTATATAGAATATTATTTAATACGAGTAACTATAAAGAAAAATTCAGGATAAAAAAGATCAATTTTCGAAATGATTGAGATAGTAAACTATTTGAAACGCATACCTAAACTAAGTATAATTCCGACTCTAGTTCATAGATAATTTATGCACTTGTTTATTGTCTATTCACTGCTCATTACTCAAATAATTTAATCTGAGCTATAAATAGATATTTATTTTACGCCAATAGATAAATGCATTTTTTATAGTTTATTAATAGCAGCACTATCATAATAAATACCAACTTTGTTATCGGTTAATGACACAACAGAGTTACAAACGAAACAAATTGTGTCTATCTTATATTTACCTAATATTTTCATTGTTTAGTTTTGTTCGAGCATTTTGTTAGGGAAATGATAAACTAATCAGTTTATTGTAGATATAAAATTGTCGGTCAGTATCTCAACTTAAATCAAATACATACAGTATAGTACATACAGTACAAGTGTTATTAACTGTAGTTAAGTTATTACCAGTCATTCCGGTCACCTTGAACCGTCAATACTTTGAACGGAAAAGTTTTTACGTTCAAAAATTAATAACACAAGGTGATTACCACAACAACTTACTATTGCTATACTCCAACAAATAACCACTTAAAAGTCGACGTTTTATTTTAGATAAGATAACATAAGATCTTTATTTGCTAGAATACAGTTAAAAGGTCACAAAGTTAAATAATGAGATGCAGTATTCTACCCGAGAACAGGCGTGCAAATATTGTAATCATGCAATTTTCTTAAAAGCCAAAAATTCCTTCACACTGTAGAAGCTGTGTTCCATAAGCCACTTTGTCAATTTCAATTTAAATTCATTCATATTCAAAAATTTCATGTCATCTGGTAAACTATTGTATATAGTTATGCACATGTTGTATACATTATTTTTATAAATGTCCTTATGACAAGGAGGGTGGTACAATAAATTTATATATTTTGCCGGGGCATAACTTCTACACGTTTAGTCCAATATTAGGAGTTGGAGTGAACAAATAAACATACATCTTTTATATACATACAGGGTAGGGTTTACATAAATACTATTCATTTAGATATAGCAGATCATTATATTTTACATTAGCAGAGTCGAGCTAGTTTTCCACATGGGGAAGGCATGTGCTCTGTGGAGCTCGATGCGCTCGATCTGCAAGATAACGGTAACGCAAGGGCCGGTCATAGGATAGACGACCAAATTTTATTTTATCTAGGTCCCTCGTACTTTGGAAGGCACGTTAAGACTCTCTTCTCTTGTACCTTCACTTAGGTTCCCATACAAATACTCAAACAAAGTAAAGAGAGGAAAAAATAAATAAATAAAGACGCGCTCGCATAGTTCCATAAGTTTTTCATAAATTTCTTTTGATCATTTTAGATTATAATGTATTAAAACCTATTTTTTATATATATTTTTATATAGTTGAAATATAGTCGTAAATTCGATCCAAAAATCCTATTTAGAATCACCTTTGCGATTTTTGTCTTTCGAGTCAATTATTCTGTTTATGTTTATTTTTTTGCAAAAAATCGACCATATGTTTAATTTTCATAAAATGATTTTTATTTGGCAAATATTAACATAGTCTTAGAATAAAATTGGTGTTACAAGTGGTAATTTCGTAAAATCCCGCCTTAATAATAATAACTTATATTTCGGACAGCATTTGGGAATCCATTTTTTAATTAACTTAAAATCTAGTGTTAATATCGTTTACAATTACTTAGAAACTAGTTTTGTATCCGTAATACATCTCCGGACACAATGTGGTATAATAAAAGAGTCGTCTCGTCCTACTTTGTCTTGTAGAATAGAATTTTAACTGTCACGCACTCTGAAGAGCGATGAGGAACTTTGCTTTCTCATGACAGCGTAGAAATTATCTGTCTGCGTTTCTGCAAACATACTTGACGCACTGCAGAAACGAGAGAGCCCAAACAATACTCTAAAAGCATTGTATATTGGATACGGAGTACACTGAGAACGCGCTGGTTATAATTGATCCAGAGGCTACTCGTATAGAACACTTAACTGTAAGCTCGAAAAAGTGTAAATTTTACTTTTTACTTTTACAGCGGGAAAATCTACAATCGCCTTAAGCCATTGGTCCCTGCTGCATCTGCATTAATACTTACCATTCCGCACTGTGCCGGCGTAGTGGGTCAAGCCCATTCTCCCTTTTCTATTCTTTCCAAGGAAAACCTATGCTCCAGCCTTGGGGACGTTAATAGCCTGATGATAATCAATTGTTTCGTATTGCAGGCGAACTAACTGGGTTCGTGCGAGTGGGACCAAAAGGCTACTTCTTTCCTCACAAGTACAAAAACGAAGCAGCTGATATCTACAATATGCCACTAAGGCCCTCCGATATATTCATATCCAGTTATCCAAGATCAGGTAAGTTGCATTAATAAACTACCTACTTTCCTACGCTATACGACTATATTTTATTTGTATAGTATAGGAACACAGGCCCTTTATAAATCATAGAAAATTCTTATAATTCTAGCTTTCCGCAAGCGTCTTCGCTTTTTTAGTTAAGCGGAACAAAAAGTAACCTTTGTTAATCCAGCCTTAGAATTATCCATATACCGAATTTCATCAAAATCCGTTCAGTAGTTGTGGTGTAAAGAAGTAACAAACATACAAACTTCCGCCATTATAATACGTTCTAATGCTGTGGCAGTGCTGTGTTTGACGCTGTATTCATTACAGAAAAGCAAAGATAGCCGTTTTGCATATTTTGACACAATCGTATGACAGGAGACCTATTTGATATTTTATTTCAGGCACAACGTGGACGCAAGAATTAGTGTGGATGGTAGCAAATAATTTAGATTACGCTAAATCGAATGAAATACCATTAACGGAAAGATATCCCTTTTTAGAGTAAGTACCTAAGTATCTAAAAGATCCCTAGAAAGATATCTATAAGGAATACTCAATAATACTATAGAAAAAATAGAAAACTAGCTCGAGCAACATAATCTCGAAATCAACCTAAGAAAGACAAAGCTAATTCAGTTCAAACCATACCAAAAAAACACCATTATAAATTGACTATACTTGCAAAAATAATAAATTAGAAACCGTAGACGCCGCAACTTTATTGAAAAACTGTACTTATAATTGATAAACTTTATACTTTGTGACATGCAATAAATGATTATTATTATTAAAATTCAAATTCTTTTTACTCCCTCTCATACGCCCTTTAAATTCCAACACACAAAAGAAGTTGAATCTTTTACTTTCGCTGGTTTCAAGGTGTGGGTGAGGCCTGAGTTCGATTTCCGTTCGTGAGAATGAGGAAAAGTAAACTCTCTCGGCTCAGAGATTTAAAGATACATTCGTTGTTTCAGCTCTCCATTATACAAGTTTTTAGTTATAACATTTTTAATCTGAACTATGAATGTGATATTGTTTAATATTCATTATTTAACTACTCGTAAGTGAAAGAATTTTAAAATCAGTCCAGTTATTTCTGAGCCTCTTCATATTGCAAACTGACTATCACAGCTTTCCTCTTTATAATTAATATTATACCAAACCAATCACGTTACAGGTTTTGTATGTGCGTCCATCCCGTAATGGCAGAACGCTTTAAAGCCGAAAACAGTGGCAGCGAAAGGAAGTTGAAGCTTCTCGAATTAGTGACGCAACGAGGGACGGCTCAGTTAGCGACTACACCTTCGCCGAGGTTCGTCAAGACCCATCTACCGATGTCCCTCTTGCCTCCTACCTTGTTGGACACCTGTCGGATAGTTTACGTAGCAAGAGACCCAAGGGACGTCATCGTATCATTTTACCATTTAAACAGGCTCATGAGGACACAAGGATACGTTGGAGATTTAAAGACTTTTTTTAATTTCTTTATAAAAGATTTACGTAAGTGCCGTATCCACAAACCTTAGGTATAATTCCTAATGTCTAATTCCCAAAATATCCAACGGTTTCCAAATATCCGATTCAATAAACGTCCGGTTCTCGAAATTTCCTATTCCCAAATATGTTCGATCTTGTATCATGATGGCTTTGGTGAATACAGAGATATAATAATATGTATATACCTCTACAATGTTGTCAATGTTTCATATTTTGACAGACAGACTATGAACACTTGTTCAACTAGCTTATTTATTGTATTCAACAAACCCATCACAATATTAGATTAGACATTTTGGGAATTGGACATTACAAGATTTAGATATTTCGTAAATTGGATATTTTGAGAACTCAACAATCAAAAGAGAATGTTAAATACTTCCTATTTAAAAAAAAAGCACCTCCCCTAATGGCGACTCTGGCAAAAGCTGATTTTTGCAGGAAACGAATGGACCAAAGACGGTCATTTCCTTTCCTTTTATCGAAACTTAGATATCAATACAAATATGAAAAAGTACCAATAGAATATGAGTTGTTTAATGAGTTTTGAAAACTAATTTACTTTTAAACTTGAAAGAAAACCGGAAAGGTTGTCATGGAGAAATCAAGAACGTCACCTAGTTACATCTAGTTTGGTTTCGGGAACTTATGTTTTTTTTTTTTAGTACTTCCTCTTTGAACATTGTGAAAATGTTGAACATTTTGGGAATAGTACATTCTGAACTAATGTTCCATAAATCATAAGTTGATGAATGAATGTTTTCTTCAAATATTTGAAAATGAAACGTTACTTCCTAACATACCTTATTTCATATGGATGGAATCGAGGCTATGACCTACCCACGCGGACCCATTGCAGAGTGCTAGATGGTATCACTTCAGATGGTGTCGGAACCTACGACTTAACGTGCCACCCGAAGCACGAGGAGTTCGAGATAATAAATTTTTGGTCAGTCATCCTATGACCGACTCTTTCGAAAGCTACTTAACCCAATTGCAGACCGAATGCAGTAACCACTATTCCTCAATGGAGGTCCTAACATAAAATTTAAAACTTCTTTATTTATTTTTTTGTTATGACACTTATGTACCCACAAAAAAATATAAGCTGTATTTTTATTCCATTCAAAAGGAATCGGGCAATGTTCACCGTAGATATACCTGGGCAAAAGGTACCTCTAGAGACTAGAATTTCATTTTATTATTTCAGATCATTGGACACCCTATTTTGAACATCTAAAGGAAGCTTGGAATCTACGACATCACCCTCGAATGTTATTCTTGTTTTACGAGGAATTAGCCAAGGTACTTTTTTATCGTTCTTTTTATAAATCTAATCGTTCAGTTGTCGTCCTGACATAAACATGTAATATAAAATGTACTACGAAAACTTTTGGTTATAATCCCCCCAAATTGCTAATACGCCTGGCCGCCATTATGGTGACGTAATTGCGTTCAAAAATTGGTACCGTTAACAAATAAACACTGGTTGACGAGTACACTTATTGAGTTGAGTTGTGTTGAGATCACATATCATTTTTGTTGTTTTTGTTGGTATTAATGTGATTAGGTTTTGTTGTTACTTGTAATGGTTTACTAAAATAGCAACTACGATTATGTTTTTCACAATAAGTAACCAATATTTCACTTATATTCATCACCAGCCTATTACTGTCCCCACTGCTGGGGCTCAGGCCTTGCCTATGGATAAAACTGATTCGAATAGCGAGAATGGGCCATGACCCCACGCGGTACCCAGTGCGGATTGGTGGATAATAACGACTGCAGATGCAGTCGGAACCAACGACTTCACGTGCCTTCCAGCAGTCAATACATTTTTTGGTCACCCATCCTATGACCGACCATCGCGAAAGTTGCTTAACAAACGTATCCTAAGCCGAGCGCGCTTACCACTGCGCCATCGAGCAATGATATTAAATATATTTACCGTCACTAACTTTATTTACGTTTTAAAAAATGTCCTTTCCATTTGTTATTGTGTTACTACAAAGATTTTTTTAATTTCCTTATATCTCAATATTTAGATATAAATTAATTCTATTCCAAAAAATACACGCTGCAAATTAACAAACTAAGTTATTAAATTATTATAACAATATTTTCGGTATTATTTATAAATATCGTATTTCAATAATTAATTGATATTTTACCTTTTGTTCTATCTATACATTCCATTTTCATATGACGGCACCGGGTGTTATTTAGACGAGGTTACAGCTCATTAACAAATTGAAGTATTACTCGGTAGAATATTTTTAAATATTTTAATTTTTGAGGAACTAAAAAAAGGTTTTGGTTTAAGAACTAGCCAACATTAGGTAAGTGTCGCTCGACCAGCCACTGCCCTGCATTTTAAAGGCATTCGCAATCATCAACTACTGTCAACAAAACTAGTCTCGATTGAGAGTGACAAACTCTCACTACGGGATGTTGGCAAAATTTCCGTGTATAACGGAACAAGTCCATATGGAAAAAAATATAAAATTGATAAAATAAAAATAAACATAAAAAGTATGAGGTATTTTATTCTTATGAATAAAAGAAATCATTTGTCTTAGGATTTACCAGCAGCAGTACGTCGCGTCGCCAAGTTTTTGAATAAAAATTACAGTGACGAAGAAGTTACTCGTTTATGTGACCATCTCAGCATAGAAAATTTCAAGAACAACAAATCTGTCAACTATGATGTAATGAAGGAACTAGGCATTTCTGTCAGCGGAGAACAGTCTTTCATCAGAAAGGGTAAAGTTCATCGATAGGTAAAAATATCTACTTATACAATCTCAAACGAGTTTATATTAAATCCAGCGCTGCCCGTCTCCTCTCGTGATAATACTTATACAATCTCAAACGAGTTTATATTAAATCCAGCGCTGCCGGTCTCCTCTCGTGATAATAGAAACTGACATTTAATTAATAAACTACAATAAGGTCCAGAATGGTTTGACCGAAAACTACCTCTTTTAAGACGTACAATGTAAAGGTAGTCAGCGTAACACCGGTGGAGTGGCATTATCCGGTCTCAGTATATAGGTACAAGGGGTAACATAGGTACGTTTTGTGAATCCGACCATAACATTGACTAAAATTTGGCAGGTAAAGCCGGGGGATGGCGAGACCACTTCGATGAAGAAATGACTCTACAGGCCGAACAGTGGATCGCCGAAAACTTACGCGATACGGACCTGCGCTTCCCACACTTAGAAAATGTTTAAAAATGGGTCGCCAATAAAAAGAATTGAAAGAATGTGATAATCATTTATTTGAATAAAATGCTATATTTTAGTATTTCTTTGTAACACCATGATATTTAAGTTTACATAGACAATAAGCTAATAAGAATTAAGTAAACAATAATTCGTTCCAAAATGTTGTTTCATTCTTTCATAATCGGTTATAATTATTTCGAACACATCGTAAATAAAACAATATCTCAGTCCTTCCTCACATTTTTTATTAAATAATACGGTTATACAAAGAAAATAAATTAGAAGCCAGATTTTAAATCAATCATTCGTTGGTAATATAAAATTCTAAAACAGACTTATAATCAGATTAATGGATAATAACCACATAGGGGCGGCGCGCCGGACGCCGGTACCGTCCCGCGTCCGGCGCGTCGCTCGCGTAACGAACCGGCAACGTACAAGTCTATAAAAAGCGACTCTATAATATAAAACTGGGAGGAGACTCCCGCACCTAACGACTCGCCGCCACGCGCGGCATTACAACTATCATACACTTATAGAAAATCACAAAATTCAAGCGGAAATAATCTATTATACTCTGTCGCAGCATCGTTAAGCTAAACAGAAATATTTTTTTTATAAATAAAATGGCTACATATACGAAAAAATCAAGTTTCATGTGATTTTCAGTCAATTAATAAACATTTTATTTATATGGATTTAGGTTTGTTTAGCGTGGCGGTACTGTGACAGGATATAACACGAAATAATAGGAATCGTGTTAGCGCTGAGTCTACGCGATGACATCGGGCAGCAGCGCATTGTCGGCGGCGGGCGGCGAGGGCGGCGGCTTGCTTAATTCCGTGTCCGCGTCGACGCCATTCCTGACGTTAATCACTTCTTCTTTCTTCGCCGGGTCCACCTTCTTAGTTACCTTCACTGGTACGCTCTTTGTGCCTGGGGCCGTCTGTTACGATAAAACGTGAACTATAATAATAGTCTCAAATATGGAATTAACAGTAGAACATAAAGGGGTCATCCATAAATTACGTCGACGAACTGTGACAGAACAATATTTAGTGAAATTTTTATAGAAAAATAGGTGACAAGAAGGTTTAAAAATCCTGAATTTTGTGTGACGTAATTTATGGACGGCCCCAAACAATTAAAAGTTTGATTCATAAATACCAGTGACGTGAGTTTTGACTACATTCTCTATGAACATAATATATCTACACTCGTCGATGCCGGTACTGGTAGAAACTGAGAGCACTGACACGGACAGATGTAGTTTCGTTAATGAAAATGTATCGAAAAAATCTAACTATCCAATATCTTTAAATAACCTGTGATCAACAATAAAGATTGATTTCATTTAGAATAATTACCACCGCGCCGGAACTGATAAGTAACGGACAAGTATGAATCAAGCTTTTTAAAAAAGTATAAGTTTACAAGATGTAAAAGACATTAGAGTTGAAATTCTATTCGGAGCATAAAAATTGCGCTGCTGCAACGTATACGTACACAACCTTCACGGCAAACACGATATCTCGGACCATTTCAGACCAGAGCGATACAATTATGATAGTATGTTCAATGTTTAGTTTTAATATTGTAGAATAAGTTTTATGCTATGCAGGCTCAAATACGATCGTTTTTTGTGCAACGCAACTGCATCATGTCTTATGAGAACATATAGAGACAACTAAAAAGTATAGAAAAGTATGTGTATTTCCTCGTCTCTGATTTCATTAGCATTACAAGTTTATCAAGTGAATTACTAAGATTTTTTTTTAATTATTAGGACTTTGAATGTTTACAATTTATATTTACGTTTTAGTGCAAACAAATAAAAGCATTTTTTAAGCATTTTGTATTAAGAATAATTTTCAGTATGGCATTGTGAATGAAAAATTAATCAAAATATATTAATTAGAACAAAATTCTCATCTTTATCGAAAGTTCCAATATTTGTAACAATATTTTTTTCGGCTGTTTGGGTGGATGCCTGAACATTGATGAGAATACGCTCTGTAGTAGCATTATTTGTAATCAGGTACTATTATTATATGATTATTACTATATATTTTTACTTGACACAAGCAGAGCGTCACCACTTGAAAGGTGCCAACTGAAAAGTGACGCTGCAGTTAAACTGCAGCACATGTAGAGTTGGCTTCTTTTGGATACCTGATACAATCTATGATTGTCTATAAAAAAAAAATTATATCTATGTGTGTATGTGCTCAATAACTTTCTTCGTGTGAGACTAAAAGTAATACCTTGGTAGCGGCCGTCCTGGGCGGGGCAGCTTTGGCCGTGATGCGTTTGTTGGCGAGGTCTTTAGTCTGTTTATCGAGGGGCCGCGCTGTCGCCGTGCGGGGCGCCGGCTTCGGGGCCGCAGTCCTGTCGAATATTACATAACCCGTGAATAACACGTTTAATATTCGCTTATTATTTGTTTACCACCAAGAAGACCAACAACTAATACTATTTATATAGACATATACGTTGATTTTTTTACGCTTATCATTTAACTGAAATAAAAAGTGAATCTTTGATAATAATTCTAAGAAGTTACATATTTATTGTGCTTAGTTAGATATCGTTACCTAGTATGTAAATATTTTGCAAATATAAATTAGTCCATTTCATAACAAATGATTTAGTGTGACTTGCAAATGGCTGTATGCTGTTTTTAAATAAAACAAATAATATTTTAAAAAAATAGCAAGCCATTTACATATCGTTAACAGAATCGATAAAAAAAAGACTTTTTGACGATTTTCACAAAATACATGGACACTGCTACAATACATAGCGTTACTGATATGGAGAAACTCACTTGTTAGGCGCAGACGTTGGTACGGTAGCGGGCGCACGCGGCGGCGGGCGGGGCGCGGGGGCGGCGGGGCGCGGAGCAGGCCGAGCGGCGGGGCGGGCCGCCGACGGCTTCTTGTCGTCTTTCAAGTCGCCATTTAACAGCGGTTTCTTTTCTATCACCTTCGGCTTCGTCTCCGCAGGCTTGGGCTTGGCTAGTGCGGGGCGGGGCGCGGGCGCGGTCGTCGGCCGAGCGGCGGGCGGGCGGGCGGCCGCGGCGGGCTTAGGCGCAGGCCTGGCCGCGGCGGCGGACGCAGGACGCGGCGCGGCGGCCTTCGGCGCCGGACGTGACGCGGCTACTTTGGAGGCGACGGGGGCGACCCGGGATATGGCCGCCGGCTCCTTGACCGCCGCCGGGGACGCCTTGGCGGCGGGGCGCAGACTCGAAGCTGCAGGTTTCGCGGTGGACGTGCGCGGCGCCGCCGGAGCTTTCGGCGCGGCCGATTTGGTGGCGGACGCGGGCGTCCGGGCGGTCGCCGCCGGACGCGAAGGCGTCGTCGTCGCGGATTTCTTGGCAGCCGACGCCGGCGTTCGGGGGCTGGCGGCGGGAGTTGTTCGCGCCGGAGTCTTCGCGGCCGGCTTCGCGGTCGGCGTCGTCGGGGACTTCTTCGCGATAGTTTTCTTAGCGGCCGCGACTCCGACCGCCGCGGCTCCGGCCGTGGCCGCGACGGCGGCAGCGACGACGGCCGGCGCGACGTCGGCCGCGATGGGTGTGTCGCTGAGGGTGGCAGCGGCGGCGGGCGGCGCGGCTGCGGGCGTCGGCGGCGGTATGGCACCGTCCTCCGGTCGGATCTCGCTGGTGACCGGCACGCAGATCTCCTGCGCTCTCGACTCGGGGATGCCGATGTCGATATCGGTGACGAGTTCGGAGCGCGGCACGTCAGGTACTATGTCAGGAGCGGGGCCGGCGCTCGCCTCGTCGGCGAACACTTCCTGGGCCACCTCGGGGGACAGCCTCTCCTGCAGGGCCGGGGAGGGGGCGGGGGAGAGCGCCACTCGCTCGGCGGCGAGCGGAGACGCGGTTTCCGGCCGACAGACTTCGACGGACTCTTCGGGCGGCGGCGGCGCCTCCCTCTGTATCGAACTTTCGACGGGGAGGGAGCACACGACGGGAACGGGGGATTCGGCCCGCGGCGAAGGCGACTGCGCGGGACGGGGTGAAGGCGAGGCGGGGGCCGGTGACTCTCTCGGCAGCGGAACGTCGGCGGGCAGCGGCGAGGCGGGCGGGTCCGCGGCGGGCACCGGGGACTGCGAAATCGCAGAAGACTGTGTGATCTCCGCCGCTTGCGACGGTGGTTCAAGAATCTGTTCTGGTTCAGGCGACCGTAAGATTAGAGAAGGTTCTGGGGAGACTGCGTCGGGCTGTGGTGTCGTCGATTCGACAAGAAGGGGAGACTGGGCCGGCAAGGGAGACTGTGCCGGCAAGGGAGACTCCGCTGGAAGCGGAGATTCTACTGGAAGAGTAGACTCCGCTGGAAGCGGAGATTCTACTGGAAGAGTAGACTCCGCTTGAAGCGGAGATTCTACCGGAAGAGTAGACTCCGCAGAAGGAAATTCCATCGGTAGTTTACAAGCTGGTGGCAGAGGTGATTCTGCAGACAGAGTAGACTCCATTGGAAGTGGAGATTCCGCAGGAAGAGGGGACTCCGATGGCAGAGGAGACTCGACCGGTAAAGGCGATTTTGACAGCGCTAGAGATTCCGCTGGCAAAGGTGACTGTGAAAGTTCCGCTGACTCTTTCGGTACTGGCGATTTGTTCGACGATTCTGGTTCTGATATTGCGGGGTCCGGAGATTCTGCCGTCAAAAGGTTATTGACGGGAAGTGGTGACTCGGCAGGAAGGTGCGTCTCGCTAGGCAGCGGAGAATAAGATGGAAGAGGTGATTCCGCAGGCATCGGCGACTCACTCGGCCGGGTACAAACTTGAATGATTTCCTCTTCTGGAGCTAAATCTTCAGAATCTATTTTTATGTCTAGTGTGTCCTGTTCTATATCCTGCTGAGGAATGTGCTCTTTGCTATCGACATCCAGTTTATGTTCAGAATTTTGGTGAACCTCTACTTCGACACTGTTTTCGACATTATGTGTTACTTCAGGCGATATGACTTCTGCACGTGTATCCTCCACAGGTAGGGGTGACGCTGGCAATCGCTCATAAGAATCATTAGTATTATCTTTTACAAGCTCTGACTCTGGAATGATGTCATCATCTTTATTATCTTCGAAGATTTCAGGGTTCTGATCTTCCTCTGCTTTGGACAAAAAGTGTGATTGTTCTTCAATACATGGAGAGTCATCATTTCTGTTTTCCATATCAATATCTTGTGAAATCTCTTCTTGTGGTGTCAATATCCTTGCATCCTTTTCACTTTCCGTTTGATCTAATAAATCTTCTGCTGTAAAACCTAATTCCGAACTTTTACCATCTGGTATTTCTGGTATCTGTTCAAAATATAATTTGTGAGATTCAGGTGTATCTGTATGTATCACAGCATCTTGTGGTACATTACTAGTTTCAAATTCAATATTAGAATATCCTTGCATATTACTGCCGTTTACATTGTAATCCATGAAATTATCACCCTGTCCAAAATTGAGAGTGGAATTATTTTTTACATTCTCTTTTCCTTCATCGAACCTCATTATATCATTGTTTGGTTCTGATGCTTCACTCTCGATACCTAATAGATCTGAATGTTGTTCCGGACTAACGTTTTCTTTATCATCTTCAGTGATATTTTTACAAACACCGTTTGGTTGGATGTCTTCATCATCACTGTCAGGTAAGGGTTGAACAGCATTGAGGTCCACATGCAATTCATTCTTAGATAACCTTTCACAAGTATCATCATCTTTTTCTTGATAAAAGCTCATACTCATGGGATCCCGTTCCTTATTTTTTAGCCTTTCAAGAAGTTCATCATTATCTTCTGCAGAAAATGGATTTGTTTCAGTGTGTGCCTGGAATACCTGTAACATAAAATTTATTTCATTTAATTAATTTTCTTGTGTTTTATAAAACAAACCTATATTTACGGGCAGGGATTATACCTATATTAATCCCCTAATAGGTTAAATTTTTCGAAACCCTTTCTTAGCAGATCTCTATGGCACAATAATTAAGAAAGTTACTTCATTAATTGAAACCAAGTAAAAGTAATATTAGTACACTAATGTAATATTAGTAACTAGGGAAATTACTTTTTAATGACATTAACATTGTCAAAGGCAGCAAATAGTAGTAAATATAGAACAAATAAAAATAAATATCCAGTCTTTGGAATCAATTTTGTTGCACAAACTAATCTATATTGTTGTTATAAGATTTAATGGTCATTTATTTTAATATGAGTGTTTCCTATGGGATTGCTACCATGTACATTGTTTTTATTGAGTTCCCAATATTTCGGAGATTTATTATTTAATTACAACAACATTTACATTGATAATTACAGCTTATAGCCAATGAGATGTTGCAAGCACACAAAGTAATAATACTTTCAGCAAAAACCTTGCAATTTTTCATAAATTACATGTGTACTAATTAAAAATAAATTTAGTAAACTGTAGTTTACACACAGATCTTTAGTCTTTAACCCGTCTCGCGATTTTTTGAACACACAGGTGTGCAAACGCTTCAAGTGCGTTTTGTGACTTAATCGCGTGACGGGTTAATAGCAATATTTTAAATAATCACTACAAATATAAAATATAGAAAAAAAAATTATCACCTGTATATTACAAAAGTCTGTAGTGTCTTTTTGTATTCTTTCAAAGTCCTGTATTAAGCCTGTCTCTGTTGCCTTATCAGGTTCCGTGCCAACACTGAATCCAAAGCCTAAACTATCCATGTTATCATACTTATTGTTCCCATTCAACTGTTCTTTTACTTCATCCAATGATATATTCTGAAAAATACAAATAACAATATTAGTAATAACATACTATCTGATTCAGCACCATAAAGGAAAATTATTGTAAATATAATTAATCACTTTCAAGTTAAATTAACTACTGTTTATAAGCATCACAATACTGCACTACAACTTTTATAAGCCCTTTAATCCAACCTAATAATTATTTTTATTTGTACATATAATAATCAATAAAAATTTAACTTACATGATGACCATTTAGATGATCACAATTATCCAAATCTAGTAATTCTGCTGGTCTGACAACTGCTCCGGTCTCAAATTGCGCTATATCTGGTAGTTCAATATCATCCATAGGCACAGGCTTGCGAGGTGACTCTGCCAGCAACACATCACTTCCGGCTACTGAGCCGGGTACAAACACAGGCGCATCGGGGTTTAGCGGTGAACTATTCATGTCTACTGAGCTTGTTTCCCAAGCTGACTGTAATGGAAGTAGTACAACAATTGCTAGATATCATATATTCACAGTTTCAATACAAATAACAACAGTTAATTGAACTTTAGTTAAAAAGCTGCACAATATAAACAGTAACAAAAAATTTATCCTTACATTTACTATTACATCAAAAGAATTTTAATGTGTTTTCTTATCACATTGAAAGCAACATCACTCTACATCACATTTAATGTTGTGTGAAAAGAGAAGAGAATACATAATTATAAAACTAATGTGTAGCTAGTTGATGAAGCTAATGTTAATATTTCAATAGGTTTATTTAAAAGAAGGTAGGTACAGGAAAAACAAATGAAATTGCAATATAACAGATTTACAGAAACTGACTGATTGTTATTGTTTAAGCTTAGTCATAAATGGTCATGAAACAAAAACCATGTTTGTATGAATGAGGTTATCTTGGTGTTGGTAGTTTACAATGAGGTTTCTTCAAATATTCCCATTGTTACCTAACACACATGTTCTTAGATAGGTAAAAATGAATTCTTAAATGATATTTTTACTTCAATTTTTAAAACAAGAAAATTACATTTCATATTATGTACATAATGGCATCTGTGATTTATTATTCAATAACAATTTATTATCTTATAGTGAATAATTTTGTATTTCAATAAACATTACACTAAATTTGAAACTTGTGCAGCTTGTTAAAAAAAGTGGAATGACCTCATTGGTCTCTCATGTCTGCTAGCTACGAGTATGAATCATATAAAATTTAAAGGTCAGTGAGAGACAATAGCAAATAAGACGATTTAAAACTAATATCAATAACAACACTACAAAATTTATAAACAAACATAGTGTAAGTGCTCACATTGTCTTGGCAGGCTGTTTCGGAGCGTGGCTGTTCTTCCGGCTCTTCGCTACGGTTATGTTCCTCGCGTTCGCCTTCGCCTTTGAAATAATTCCACTCGTCTTCTGATTCCTCGCCACTCTCAGCTACATTATCTAGCAGCGCACCATCGACGTGGCCCTCCTCCACTGCACAACACAATGAACATACTATTTTTTTTACGTTGAATATATTATGTAGCTAAAACACCTGGATATCACGCAACCTCCACCCCTTCTCTCAATTGGTCGCGATCAACAGGTGACACACCCTAAAGAAAGCTCACTGTGCGTCTTTCGTCATACAAATAATTGTGCGTCCATGTGATCTGCTAAGAGCACAATAAACGTTACGTCAAACGTAGAGCACGAGTCTACGTTAATAATTACCGGTCGAAAATTCAAATCCGCGAGATATTCGCGGACGCCATTTCGATAACGAGCTGAGAAGACACGCCCGTTATTAGCCTGACGAAATTAGAGTATGTAAGTAGACAAAACTTGCGGGATTTTCGACTTGAGGGATGCGCCTTCAGGCGAACCGATCTATTTCCAGAACACTGCTCCGCATGAATCAACACAGAAATAACCTTTCACTAACTATTGGGAATGTGAAAATAACCAACAACATTCGCTAAAAACCACGTACCGTAAACGGTAATTTCACTACACTGATTATTATCTTCACTGACAGCGTAATATTCGATCCGTAAAATGTAGACAAAAGGCCCGGTTACAATAGCAAATGTCAGGCAGAGACGCAGTCTGTCTACACGGGCGTTCAATGAGCGACTGCGGGCGAGAGGGACGAAGACGAGGAGGAGACGAGGTAAAGCGGTCTGCGGGGCGCACTGCACCCGAGCCGACCGACCGTAGGGATGCCATCTCAAAAAAAGTATATTTTCCTTTTACAAAAGAAACTGTTTTCCCGCGGCATCGCCTGCGTAAATAATAGCCTATGTCGCCTGCGTATGATGATGACGCTTCCCGTAGGTAAAAGAATTTTTAAAATCGGTGCAGTAGTTCGGAGTCTAATTCAATACAAACAAACAATCAAATCTTTCCGATTTATTATCGGTATTAGTATAGATATAGTATAGATAACTAAGATATTCATATAATGCATTATTTTTCTCTTAATTTAGTTTGAAAGTAGGTTAGAATTATTTAAAAGCGCAAATTTATTATAATGATACGACTGGTATTCATGGTCTATTTGTATTTTTTATTTTTCTATAAAAACAACCCTTGCCAATTTCTTGCCGTGTCTTCTTCATAGCCTAAATCTCATCCCTCATCATCTCATGTAAATTTACGAACCGATGGGAAGTTAATAAATGTTTTGACTGATTTAAGTACGATGTTACTAAGAACAGTTACGAAGCATGACATAACTATTCATTTAATTTAAAATATAATCTGAGGTAATTTATGTGAGAACATCAACTTTAATAAGTATATTTTTAACATGCATAATATGAAACACCAGACAACCCAGTCAGAGGAAAATAACTACACAGAACTATGGACAATTTTTTTATTATAACCTCATATCATTACGCTACATTGCTTAAATCAGATGACTAGAAAAGGGAGACATAAATTATGTAAAAAGATATATAATAGAACCGTAATGTTATAGACCCAACTCTAGATTACAATCATATAGCTAGACAGTTACTCAATCGAATGCAAACTATGGGTAAGTTAGACAGCAGCTGAGTGCCTCGTATGTGGGCGACCGAGTAACAATAATAATCCGTGTTACATTGGCGATTTATACTTTTTCTTTTGCTCCCATAAACTAGATTGCAAAAAGATCAGGACACGGCTTCTTAATTCAGTTTCACATGATATACCTACATGTAATTTCAAAATTATATTTAGTGTTTAGAAATCGTAACGCATAAATGCTTTACAAATAATAGAAAAAGGCGAAGGCGGCTGGCATGTCAAACCTTTCGCAGAACATTTTACATCAGCACTCCTATTACTTTTGTTGCCAAAATTTTCAATCCCTATGAACCTGGGTAGATTGGGTACGAACTGAAGATTACAGAGTTTAGTTTACACATATATTATAAAGATCAAAGATACAAGAAGTTACATCATATGCGGTGAACATAGGCTATATTTTATCCCGAAAAACAACAAATAAAAGTATGAAAATGGGAGTAGAAGTTTGTATGGGCAATTAAAACGTTTAGTAACCATTCTTTACTAATCGAATTTGTCATTGTAATTATATACATGTCATGATATGAATCGATTTCGGAATAAATAGTTCCCTAGGGACCAGGCGAGCGTAGCCGCTAGTGGCTAGTTATTTGTAAAATGGGGATGATAGGTACAAATGTAAAAATCAAAATTGAAACAGGGGCATAGAACGAGAATGGTGAGAAATAGGACCTATATAATGGACCACAGTTTAACCCAGGAAATAAGAACATAAAAGGATAACAAAAGACAATTGAAAGCAGTTCTTTCGTACATTGTCAACTGAAGCGTCATTTGGCCCGCGCCATGTGATGTTCAGATATATCGGTGCAAGTATAATGACTCTGGTGCTAAATATATGAAACCGATCCACGTATGTATACATACCAGCGTCTGCAGGCGGCGTAGGGGGCGTCGGGTCGCGGGGTCGAGCGTCTCCGTCGAAATCGTCTACGTCGACAGCGGTCTCTGGACCGAGATCCTCACTGTCACTGTCAGAGTGATCAACGCCGTTGTCGGCTTCGGCGTCGGCGCATTCGGCCTCGGCTTCAGCGTCGCCAGCGGCGTCTGTCAACTGCCGCTTACACGACTCGGCCTCCATACCGAAAGGCGGCGCGTTCGCCAGAGGATTGTCCAGCCTAAGGGATCGAGAGCGTAAAAAAAATGTAAAACCTCATAGAAAAAGGACCTCTTACATAATGCAAATACATTTCAGCCATCGATACAGACCAGTCCAGTTCTTTTTTTATATTTTGCAAATAACATTTATTTATATTATATTTTTGACTACCTTTAATTAACAGTTTATAATGAAATAGTACTACTGACTCGTTACATCAAATACTACTAATATTATTAATATTTTTTTAGTCATGGATTGCCTAGAAGTAATAAGCCCGTCTATTGTATAGTCTCTTTTCTAGCTTTTTCGTACATGTAAAGGGTGCAATAAAGAATATATTATTATTAATATAGATATCTAGTTCATCACAGGAAAAGGCTGCTATTAATGTTTATTATCTTATTACCACAATATTTAGGTATTCGTAAAAACGAATTTTCATTAAAACAGTGAGTCATGTAAGCGATAGAACTGAGTGTATGATAAAATATATAAAAAGTTATCGCGTAATAACTACTTATGGCCGTCGTGGCAACGAACTTCACTTAATTAATCCAAAATTTTAGGAGTTATCTTTATTTAGGCGTGACAATATGTAAAAGTAAACAAAATGATACGTCGTTAATTTATCTATTTTAATATTAAATAACATACATGGTACATGATATTTTAGGGTGAAATTAGCACACATGCCGACCCTACTCGTTTATGCCCTTGGAAATAACAGGCAATACATACGTTAATGATCAATTAAAATAAAAATTGTATTCTTTCAAATTTAGTACATACATAAGTCACAACAGCCCAAGGTCAACAGGACAAGATATTTCGGACGATGACATTTTAGACACGCATAAATAAAATTGTCATTAGGTCGTCGTGTGTCACTTTGCCCGTTGGTTCGTTCTATTTGATCCGGTTATTCATAACATTGATTAGCCAAACAAAAATGTGATAACACATTCCTTAGTTAGATAATGGAGTACATCGGCGCAGATGTCGTGTGCGAATCCTTATGAAAGATTTACGTATGATGTGGACATTGGCATTACTTTGTTTTTATCAGTTTGCATTTCTATTATCTGAAGTTGATCATAAATTTTCAACTAATGTTCGAATAACTTTTAGACTACTATTATATACGATTTAATATCTTTCGAGATGTTTTCAAAACTACATAATCAGCATGCATAGCCAATAATATCATAACAATTAATCAGATCGAATTTTTCAAACACTGTTTTACTCATCACTATTGGCTTCTTGCTTGTCATAAACCTATTTAGTTTATAAATAATTTTAATTACGGATACACTCAATTTTTTATTTTTATTTCACTGTTTAAAATTCATTTAAAAGCTTACCCAAGATCCATGGGCGGGCGATTGTCAGCGGCGATTTTACGCGGGTCCTTCAGGAACACCACGATTATAGATATATTGTCTGCGGAGCCGTACCTCTTCGCCTGCGCGATCAGACGTTTCGTCACCGCCTTCAAGTCATCTGCATAACAAAATAAAAAATATAAAAAATTATCTTATCTTACAGCGAAACGTCTAAGGAAAAATTTTGAAAGCAAACCTATCCTTTTTATTTATCTATACTAATATTATAAAGCTAAAGAGTTTGTTTGTTTGTTTGTTTGAACGCGCTAATCTCAGGAACTACTGGTTCGAATTGAAAATTATTTTTGTGTTGATTAGACCATTTATCGAGGAAGGCTTTAGGCTTATATAACATCACGCTGCAACTATTAGGAGCGAAGAAATAATGGAAAACACGGACGAAATCGCTGGCGGCCACTAGTTTAAAATACACAGTTCACTGTGTAAAATTGCAATTTGAAGTTACTATAAAAATTTGTTTATTGTTATTGTTAAAATATTTTTAAATATAATAAACATAATGCAGGATTAGAATCCTATAGCTCAGGATTAGAAACCTGCATTATGCATCTATCCGAAATTTTGACAATATGGTCAGACTTAAATATTATAAAATAGAAAGGAATATGCAGCGGGTTGTCTTTGGGTGAAAACATTGATAGAAATTTTTTGAGAAATAATTATACACTAGACTTAATTCATCCGTTATCAGATTTAACTAAAACTATAAGCAGAATTTAGTAACGGCCGTTATTTCTTAACTGTATTATTATCCTTAAAATATCAGTGTGTCATCTAGCACAAAGCTGGGGTGTTGCGAAGTCTATTATGTCTGCAATTTGTTGCGGCACAATGGTGAATAGGCGCTGACGGATATGGAGCAACTATGTTTATGTTTCGATTTGCCATACAGTGCCTCTAGGCTGCGAAGATGGCCTTGTTCTGTCTCGACAGACCGGTGACTCATCCGAGACGTTGCATTTCAGTTGTGATCCGTATATGAATGTATTGCATATACATTACTCAACTAAACGTTTCCATACTGAACGCTTCTGTTTCCTAATGTCGCATTGACTGCTCAGTAGCAGCAGACTTAAAAAGTTAAATTGGAGCAGCTTATGTCATTAGAGTAAACATTTTCTAATTTGGCGTGTATGTTTCAACGTACCAATTGCGTCATTCACAATTAGGGATGGATATTGTTTTAATTTACATTGGCTATAATGATGTTATTTGCGCTGTTACTCTATATTATCGACTGTCAGGCACACCTTTTTGGGCGCGGTGAAGTCTAGTCATGTCAGGCAATATTCGAAGGACGGGCAAAACTAACTGCAAGGATGCGTGTACATGAACACTTTGGCGGTAACAGCTGAAGCCGATTCCGTGCTTGTGTCTGCTACACCACGCCTTGACTTTGGCCGCTATTTCGAGGCGCGGCAGCCGCCACACGTCGGCTTTGCTTTTTACCCTATTTTTCCTGGCTTTGAGCCAAGACAGCCTCGACATCTTCTATTTCGAAAGTTTACCAACAAAGCCACCCGTGTATTATTGAGTAAAAACTATGTATGATACATTACAAAAATAAGTCGCATAGCAGCAGAGCTTCTTTTATTCTTGGACTCAAAAACCGATATTTATAGCTCAACTTAAGAAATGAATAGTACCTATTTATAATTCGGAAAGGGTCGAAACCAACATAATACTATGACGTTTGGCTTGAAAAAGAAAATTACTATGATCGTTAAACTAACTTGTAATAACATTATATTTAATTCATTAATATTTTTAGCAAAGGCATCAATTTACATTAATTCTGCAATTTCTTAATTAAAACTTTTTAATTCAAAGCTATATATATTTCACAAATGTCTTTTCTCCATTCCGAGTTGCTACCGGGCCATCATTAAATTAAAGTTTTATCCGCCACTGTTTACAATTAACGGATCATAATTCAGTAAAAACCGAATGAACAACAATTAGATCACAAAATGATTAAACAGTTGCATGAATTTGGGATGGCAGGGAAGAGGGAAGCGATCTTCGACAGTTTATATTCGATCGCTGTGGTCACTCCAAAGCATCGGCTAACGGTGATCGTGGTATGCGCGCGGGCCATTGTTCCCGGCTGTCTATTTCACCGCAAAAACATAGCTAGGCTTGACGACGCATATTAAAGCCGGCGCACGCGCACCTGCTACCATCCGTACCCATTGAAATACGCTCGTCAAATAGAAGTTAAATTGTTACTAAGTCGGACATTCATATGCTTATCGCGCGTGATAACTTCTTGTTTATAAAAGCTATTTCGCTAGAAAACTGTGTAATACTCATATCTTGATCTCGATAAATGCTTCTAAAATGCCTTATCCCGCGGGAATAGGTAATGTTGTATGTTCTTAAAACAGTATTCCAAGAAAATCACCTTAATCATTCTTCATTCATCGGAAAAACTGAACGTAATATGTAACAATGTTCTACATAACAAACACGAGCGGTCACAAAAACAGCAAGGCGCCTCTTTACTATCATTACATTATTGGTACATAATAAAGTAATCGTGCCAGATTGGATATAGAATACGGCAAAACTGCAGAAGATATAGATCGAGAGTAATTTGTGAGAGCACGTCCGACCGCTTTTTTTCGATGGTACACGTTTGCATTTCAATTTGAGTTTTTTTTTTCTTTCAAACTATGAATAAACTCAATAGAAGTAAAAGCTTACGAGGTTTCGAAAATAAAAGTAATGTTAATACACGCATACGTAATGTGGTCTTATTCTTTCTATTCTAATGAGAATCAAAACATTCATTTCATAAGAAAACGAAAGTAACAAATCAAAAATAATTGAACATTAGGCGACATCAGAACAATAGGGTATTAGACAATGTTAAAAATATTGTATAAACGATGGTCATCTTATAAGATAATGGCGTAATAATAATAACACATATTTCAGTTTTTTTTAAACGAAATAATGTATATTTTTTGCAGATTACACAAAACAAAATCAAATATTTTTTGACATTCAGATCCCAAATTAAGTAAAAATTTGTCAAATTTCTAAATGAGTATCTATTATGGAAATCTGGAACAATCAAGGTAATATAACACCCAACCCCGAGACAATATCGAAAAATTTAACTCCTACATCGACCCGACCGGGAATGAAAACCAAGGACCTCAGATATAGTTAACACCTTGAGATGTATATATATAAACATACAGAAAAACAAATAAGGGATTAGTGATAGTACGTCGAAATCACGCATTGAAATAAAATCTACAAAGTAACCAAAAAGAGATATAACTTTGTTGTTATCTCCACAAAGATCTGAACTTGACGTCTGCCAAGAAATATACAAGGCGTACTAAAGAGCGAGAGCAGCGTGATATAATAAATACATAGGCCGATGGGGGTAGACGAGGATCTCCCCCTTCGCCGTGCAATTTCCACTCAAAGCGGTGGCTCAACCGTCTGAGCTTAAATTTATGAAACTACGATGGGGATTTAAAATATAACAACTTTACTTTAGAAGCATTAAAAAATAATAATATTTTTAACTACGAGGGTCAAACTGAAAGTTCTTAGAACTGGCCACTTATAAACAATATAATAAAAAAATAATTCTAAAATTTGAAAATATAACTCTTTGCCAATATTACTGAGTATATATTTCATTCATTTGTCATTTGTTTTACGATTTGGCGGCAAATTGAAAATTGTCTGTGTCACGTCATCATGAATTTAACACGAGAAAATTTTCGTGCAATGATTTTTTATGACTTTCGATGTCATTTAAGTCAACAAGAAAGTTATGATAGACTACGATTGGCCTTTCACGATGAAGCCCCATCTCGTGCGACTGTTTACAACTGGTTTAATGAGTTTAAACGTGGTCGCACTAATCTCACTGATGATTTACGTGAGGGACGGCCTTCTACGGCGACGACTGAAGATAACATCTGTGTTGTGCGGCGTATGATAGAGACTGACAAAAGAGTGACCTATCAACAGATTCGGACAAGCTTAGGCATCGGTATGAGTCAAGTGCACAAAATCCTCCACGAACATTTAGCGGTCAGGAAGCTTTGCGCCCGGTGGATACCTCATAATTTGACTGAGGCTCAAAAACTCCATCGTGTGGATTGATGTCGTAAAATGATTGAAAGATTTAACGGAGGTGACTCAAATGCTGTGTTCGACATACTAACAGGTGACGAAAGCTGGATTTACTGTTATGATCCTAAAACCAAAAGACAATCTGCTCAGTGGGTGTTTCCTTTCGAGGAGTTGCCAACTAAAGTGAAGAGAGATCGAAGTGCGGGAAAAAAAATGGTGGTCTCGTTCTTTGGAAGGATAGGTCATTTTGCAACAATTGTGTTAGAGGATCAAAAAACAGTTTCTGCAGAATGGTACACTACCAATTGTTTGCCACTTGTCTTGGAAAAAGTTCGAGAGAAACGACCTCGCAGTAGGATCCTCCTTCACCACGACAACGCCTCGTCCCACACCGCCAAGCGAACGATCGACTATTTGGCGACATCAAACGTTGAATTACTGGGTCACCCGCCGTATAGCCCCGACCTCGCGCCTTGTGATTTTTATTTATTTCCAAAAATTAAAGAAAAACTTAAAGGAAAGCGGTTTATGAATGCTGAAGAAGCGGTGGCTGCGTATCGCGATGCCATTGAAGAGACCCCTAAGGACGAGTGGGCAAAGTGCTTTTCCCAGTGGTTCCATCGCATGCAGCGGTGTATTGACGTGAATGGACAATATTTTGAAAAGATATAATAAAACTAATAACTGGCTAATGTAATCAGTTTTTGATTTTCTAAGAACTTTCAGTTTGACCCTCGTATCAACAAGGCAAGTGAATGCAAACACATAATTTATTCATTGCATTATTACTTGATAATACATTTTTGCTTGGGGAACCGTTAAATGGGATAAAAAGTAGTTTATATATTAATTTAGACAGAATTATCCATATATCAAATATCATCCAAATTCTTTCAGTCAGTAGTCACTGTAGCGTCAGCTGTCAGTAGTAACGTGAAAGAGTAACATACATCCTTCACCGTCATCAACCTCAAAAATTTTCGCATTTATAAT